TCTTTTATGGTTAAAAGTACCCCATGCCATGCTAGATAGGTTATAAACCTTGGAAAATAATATTTTGCATGTATCTTAGACAAACATAGATCCAAGGTTTAATAGGGTTGCATGTACACTTAGGAAGTGTTAGAATGCTCAAAACCCAACAGTATTGAGGCAAGACTGTCGTGAATGGGTATATAGTTTGTCTAGGTGTTTTTAGACATAGCTGCAGTGTTCATGAGTACTCCTGGAATAAGATTCGAGTATTGGATTCAACCCACGCTCATCTGAATCACTTCATGGATTTCATCACGAGTGATTGTGAGACGATAATATCTTATATTCTTGAAACCAAGACGTCTGAGTTGTAGTTGCAAGTCGGTTACACATTGACATGTGTAAATGCACCAGTAACTTGGTGTTATAAAACATATTGTTGTGTATAATTTGATGAGTAAGTACAAGCAAGCATTTGAGTCGAATTTTATCCGTTCCTTTTACCCCATGTGGATAAAAGCGATATATGTGGGCCCCTCGATGATTTAGTGATGACAACCCTAAGTGCCTGGCCAAGCATGGACTGATTTTATTTGTTCAATTAGTCGGTCGTCATAAATCGGAAATCGAGAAACAACAGATGGACAGAGAGAATGATTATAATCCATGTCTCAGTCCATATGATATCTAGAATGGAGGAATATATGATCCCTTATCTAATGGACGCGTCATTGGCTATGTCAGAGTTCGACAGCGGCTTTTAAGAGCTACAATTGCTAGTCGGGTTGTGGAGTCGTACTTGCAATAATAGTTATTAGACTTATCCAAGTGGGAGACCGTTGGATTAGGTGTCTAAGCCCATAACTATAATTGATATGTACTTGACCCGAGAGTAGCATGGTCCATTTGGGTTGCATATCATATGATTTGTTAATATTTTATAAGTTCTAATATATTAATATGAAAAGAGGTTATTTATGGTTTGTTAATATTTTATAAGTTCTAATATATTAATATGAAATCATATGATTTAATTAGTATTGATCAATAATTAATTTGGAATTAATTTTGTGATCAAAAGAGACTAATTAAATATATGAGGATTGATTTGGTAAATCAATGATTCTTATAATGTGGGCCAATTGTTATTTAGGATGGGCTAAACCAATATGGTAGTTCATGTATAGTCCATGGAGGTTTAACCCATGGATCCTAGGGAATATGAAGAGTCATGGGCATTAGGGTTTACATGGTGCTGGCCCTAATCTAGCCACACTATATATGAAGCCCCTTAGCATCTAAAATGGGACACTAGTGATTCTTGGAGTTACATGAGCCGATTTTGAGCACAAGATATTCTCTCTCTCAAAAGTCATCCTTTGTCCAAAGGTGTGTTGTGATTCCATTTGAGGTGCAACACTTGGGGCACTAAGTTCTTAAAGGCCAAACTCAACAAAACTACAAGCTACAACAAAGAGGTAATTCTATAACTCATTTATATGTTGATTATGTCAATTATATGCTAGTTGTAGGCTTAATGTTTTGGAAAAAATATTGCATGTATAATTAGAGAAAACATAGATCCAAAGCATTTAGGGTTGTATGTGCACCATAAGATGTTGTAGTATACAAAACCCATCAGCTTCATATGGTGAACTTAGGTGGTTCACGCTAGTTGGATCGTTTGAGGATTATGCGTGGGAGACTTAGACTTCTAGCTTCATGTGAATTCTCTCACTATGCTATGTGTAACATTAGATATCCATTGCGTGGTATGATGTTAGTGTGACTGAAAGATTATAGTTAGACTATAACACTATATGAAAGACTATAGTTAGATTATAACGTTGTATGAAAGACTATTTTTAGACTATAACGTTGTGTTAAAGACTATAGTTAGACTATAACAATGCATGGAAGACTATAGTTGGACTATATCATTTGCATGAGTGGCTATATTTAGACTATAACATTCGTATTTTGTGATACTATAGTTGGACTATAGCATTCGCAATGGTATGCATTGTATGTGTAGTATATTGGAGAACTCACTAAGTTTTGTGCTTATGTTTTAAAGTTAAAGGTTGTTCTAGTGAGAAATGGAAGGGAGCGACGTTACTGTACTCGCATATGGTTGATCATGTTTTTGAGACTTTCGCTATATTCCGATTTGATAATATGTTTTATGATGATTGAAACAAATGAATATTATGTTCTTTTTTGTGAAAATGGTTTTGGGTTGTTTAAATCTTAACTTAAAAAGAAAAATTTTGTTGAAAATTTGGGATGTTACATGTGGATGTTTCCACCGACACTTGCTACCCATCTACATTTTAAAATATTTTAAAATGATATTTCCACCTCTTTACTTTTTAAAATGTCACTTTGACCTCCTTTATTTTAAACTTTGCAAAATAATACTTTCACCCCCTTCGTTTTGTAAACTTCACGTTTATCCCACGTACTATACATAATTTGTTTTTTTCTATAATAACTTTCGTTCGTTAACATAAAAAATCAATTTTTACGTGCTTATTTTTTATCTATGTGTTGGTATATATTCGAGGTGGTCAACGTTTCGACTTAAATTTAGAAATTTCGTTCATTAATTAAAAAAAGATTTATTTTTTTATGTATGTGTCGGTATATATTCGAGTTTGTCTATGTTTTGATGTATTTTTTTTTACTTTTTTGTGCTTATTTTTATGTATGATTACTACGTATGAGTCGATTTACATGTAATATGTTTTAAATTATTTGAACTTTCGTTCGTTAACTTATAAAAAAATTTACTTACTTATTTTAATATATGAGTCCGTATAAATTTCAGTTCTTTATATTTTCGTGTTTATTTTTATGTATGTTTCTTACCTATGAATTTAGTCACATATAATACGTTTTTAATTAATTATATATAGGAGTTAGTCAGTTATACTGACATTAAATGTTTATCTACCAACAAATGTAATGGTGTAACTTTTATCAATACAATTGTCAAAATTTAACTTACAAAACAGAATGACCCGCTGCAATGCACGACACACAAAACCTTAATCACTAATTAATTATTATAATATTATCGTTTAGTCACGTTGTTCTATTTCAAAGTTATGATAAATAGTACAAATAAAAAGAACGATAAAAAAGTAAGAAATTTTAACACAAATATCCAATCATAAAATAAATGTTTAACGTACTATAATCAATATCATCTTAGCAAAATAATTAGGTTTTAAAGACCAAATATAAATAATAAAACAATTTATCAGATTTTTTTAAACCGGCAAACTAACCTATTTTTAAATATCACATATCTTCTAATGAGACTTGAACTCATAACCTCTCATTTATCAGATGATATTCTCCATTTTTCCCATCAAATATCATTAAAACTCTTTTTGTTGTACTTAGGGATGACAAAGAACCCCATACCCGATAGGGAACCCGAAACTCGCACCCGTTTTGACTGGGGAATCCCCAAGTTATCCGGGGATGAGAAATCCCCGAATAAAAAAGTGGGGATGAGGATACCCCTAATCCCCGACCATGGACCCGCCCCGACATATATTAATATATAAAAATAATAAAAACATATATTTATAGTACAATTTACAATATTATCAATGTAACCTAACTCATTAATAATTACTTTGTTGGAATTTTACTTTTGGTTTTTTTTTATTTAATTTAAACTCGTGTATAATTTTTTTTTTCTCTTTGGTTGATCTATTTTACCTCAAATATCAATCCGATAATTTTTTTTCTATTTGATTTTTCATGTATGTATTTAAATTTGGTAGAAAATTTATTTATATTGTTTATGCAATCTATGGGTATTTTTATATTTTATAAAATCTTTAAAGTTATGCTGGTAAAATTCAAATTTAGAGTTTTTTCTTATGTAAAAGATTTTATATTAAAAGAGAAAAAAAAATCTCCCTTTCCCCCGCTAGGAATCCCCAGTTCCCGTTGGGGGTGGGGATGATGGTTTATTTATAATCGTCGATAGGGATGAGGATTTGAATGAATATTCAGGGATGATGATGAGGATTGGGGTCCCTTGTATTTCCCCTCCCCGTTGTCATCTCTATTTGTACTTGTCACATTTGTGAGTGTGGTTGTATTTTTCATTACAACAAAAACAAACATCTTTCTCCCGTCGTGATTGGATTTGAAGTTGAGTGAATTTCTAAATATTATTCCTCGCTAGGTTGATAAATATTAACATTTTGTTTCGAAGAAGAGTTTTGGAATCTGTGGTATTCGATAATCGGTTGTCGGTTGTCTTGATCATTGGAAAGATATGCTTAACTAATTTGAGTTGTTGAATTTTATCCAATGACATGCATGGCTCTACTACTAATTAATGTTGTGGGATAAAATTAAGGTGGCCACCTCATGTTGAATTGAAGGTTAAGATTTTAAACCAGATATAAACCAATTACTTGAAACAAGTGATTTAGGTAGATCATATATAATCGTATATAATATGTGATAAAGTCGCAATAATCCGGCGAAATCAAAATGTTTTTAATTTAAAAACAAAAAAGAAAAAACATTTGAACTGAATACGTCGAGGGACGTCCACGTGTCCAACTTAAACCCATTTCACCCACTCTAGTGCTCTACAATCCCTGTTCTTACTACGCGAAAAACGAGGGAGCAGTGCCCTACGTGCCCCTCCTCCATTGCCAAACTAGGCACGTACCTGAGCCTCATTGGTTGTTTCAAATGGCGGAGTTAGGCACGTATCGGCTCCTCATTGGTTGCATCAGAATCGCGGACCCCACAAGATACTTCCTGTTACGTTTCCCTTTCCCTTAAATAGCTAAATCCCAATCACCTATCTGTGCTGTTCCAACCAGTGTCGTCACACGTGTTGCTTTTCTCTCACACACGCGGCCGATTCACCGGAGATGTCTTTATATACTATACCCCCATTCATTATGTTATAAGCAAAAAACGACACCGAGATTATTTATATTCAAAAAGAAAGGATTTTGGATTAACGTGTAGATATGGATGTGAGGTACGCCAGACACGGCGGTTTCGGTGGTGGTGGTGGTTGTGTTGCGAGGTACGTTGGTGGTGGGTTGTATGATATATCGATGGTGGACAGGATGATGCTCAAGTTCAGACCAATTGCACCAAAGCCGGTGGCTTCTGGGTCGGGTTCCGGTGACTCCACGATGGAGAACGGTGGTAAAAGTGGCGGAGTTAAGAGGAAGTACGTTAGGGTGAAGGGAAACAACAGGAATAAGGATACTAAAGTTAAAAAAAGAAAGGTGTCAACGTCATCGTTTCAGCCCAGGGAAGCAGTTTCCAGTGGTGGTGACGCGGTGGTGACGCTGTCGTTGATGCCGGAGACGCCAGATCGGAAGGAGAACTCGCCGGCCAACACTTCGTCGAGTGAAAACCTCGATAATATTCTCCCGGTCAAGAAGATATCATCCCCGATCTGGTTAAGCTTCAAGAACAGCAATCAAACACCGCCGGAGAGACAGCAACCGGTACTGTCGTCCGTGAAGGTGGAATGGGTGGCGGAGACATTTGTAGACAAGGGGTGGGTACGGTGGACGGAGATGGAGAGTGACACATGTCCGGGGTTCATATCGGACGGGGAAGACAGGGTGGTGTGGACGAACAAGGCGTATAGGGAGATGGCTGGTGGGGAGGAGGTGGTGGTGGTTCTGGTAAGGAAGGAGGGTATGGGTTACCCTTACCCGGCGGCGTTCACATGCAGTGTGAGGGTCACGTGCCGGAGTGGTACGAATTCTTCAACCCTAACGGTGCCGTGTGACGCGTGGAGGATGGGTGGTGGATATGCATGGAGATTAGACGTTAAAGCTGCACTTTGTTTGGGTCGTTAAAATTAACATGTCCGGTTAATTAAAATAGTTACTAGATAATCGACGAGATTTTGGGACGTTGTCACGCTTGTATGATCGTTCAATTAAGAAAGTTTGAGTGATCTTATGTATCATATATAATTGACAACACCATGGGCTCGCCATGATTTTGAGTTTCGGTCTTATATTTGAATGTTATATAGAAATTAAATAATAACATATATCACATTTAATATTAAAATATTATAAAATAAATATTAAATGTTACAAATTGTTATAATTGATAGAATGATTTATAGGAACAGAAAATAAAAGGATATATAATTTCTTGAATATGGACCACTTCATTTTATTCTATATATCAGGTAACAATAAAAATATAAATTCAAATATTTTAGGTAGATATCAACATACAAGTTTTTAATCTATTTTGGCTTTTAATATTACAAGTTTATTATCCAATGATGCTAAAGATAAAAGAAAACTTAGAAAGGTAGATATCAACATACAAGTTTTTAATCTACTTTGGCTTTTAATATTACAAGTTCATTATCCAATGACGCTAAAGATAAAAGAAAACTTAGAAAGTTATATTTGGATAACAAAAAATGTAAAGATATGACCACCACGCCAAATGGTATATTTTTTTTTCTATCATGCATTTATAATTACTTTGCTACCACAGTATTGTTTTTACATAAAATTTTTAATTTTGTTGATTAGTTTTTATTTTCTATTAATCTTTTGCGACATAAATAATGCATATTCCCTTATAACATTCTTACTATTTCACAAGTAACAAATTTTCCGATGAACATTGTTTTGATTTTTTAATATTTTATTTAAATAAATTTCTTATATTTCGTTTTCGATGATAAAAATATGCATATATTTTTTTTCTTCGTATATATGTTAATTATAAATGTTTTGAGGTTTTTAATAATTTTTTTCTTATATATTTTTCTCAGTGCTTACTAATGACAGTAGCAAAAGTCAAACCATGTCATCAAGCAAGTTCAATAATGTTGCCGGGGACAATCAAAATGCCAACCCAAACATTTATAAAGATAAGCGAAAACAAATAAAAGATTATTTGGATAATACAAAATCCATTCAGACTTGCACCACACCAATCGGTAATATGCTATATATTACATAATTTATCTTTCATCCGTATAATTAATTGTGTAATAATATATTCATTTGTTTATTATGTTTGTTTTATTTTTTTGTAATAATCAAAATATTTTTATTTCATAGAGTATATGGAGTGTGCTTAACAATGTTTCAAATCTACTTCCAATTATACGACAAGAACTCCGTTATCTAACATTACCAATGGTATATCAGTTATCCTACTATATAAGTTACATAAAATAATATCTATGCATTGTATATAATTTAAATCATACTATTATCTTTTTTATTTCAAAATTCAATACTGACATTTATACTTTCAGTGTGTGGACACAAATCATTTATCCTTATCAACATCTAACCACTTCAAATTATTCTATATATCTTGCATGTAACAATGAAAATATAAATTCAAATATTTCAAGTGGATATCAGGATACAAGTTTTCAATCTACTTTGGTTTTTAATATTACAAGTTCCTTATCCAATGATGCTAAAGATAAAAGAAAACTTAGAAAGTTATATTTGGATAACAAAAAATGTAAAGATATGACCACCACGCCAAATGGTATATTTTTTTTTCTATCATGCATTTATAATTAGTTTGCTACGAGAGTATTCTTTTTACATAATATTTTTAATTTTGTGTATTAGTTTTTATTTTGTGTTAACCTTTTGCGACATTAATAATGCATATTTCCTTATAACACTCTTAGTATTTCACAAGTAATGGTCATCACGATCAACATTGTTTTCATTTTTTAATATTTTATTTAAACAAATTTCTTATATTTCGTTTTCGATGATATAAGTATGCATATATTTTTTTTCTTCCTATATATGTTAAGTTATAAATATTTTGAGGGTTATAATAATGTTCAGTGCTTACTAATGACAGTAGCAAATGTCAAACCTTGTCATCAAGCAAGTTCAATAATGTTGCCGGTGACAATCAAAATGTCAACCCAAACGTTTATAAAGATAAGCGAAAACAAAGAAAAGATTATTTGGATAATAGAAGATCCATTCAGACTTGCACCACACCAAACGGTAATATGCTATATATTATATAATTTATCTTTCATCCATCTAATGTATAATTAATTGTCTAATAATATATTCCTTTGTTTATTATGCTTATTTTATTTTTTTATATTAATTAAAATATTTTTATTTCGTAGCGTGTATGGAGTATGCTCAGCAAAGTTTCAAATCTACTTCCAATTATACGACAACAACTCTGTTATCTAACATTACCAATGGTATATCTAATTTCTTTTCACATCAGTTTTCCTACTATATAAGTTACATAAAATATTATGTATGCATTGTATACAATTTAAATCATACTATTATCCTTTTTATTTCAAAATTCAATACTAACATTTATACTTTCAGTGTCAGGAAATAGACAATATTCTATATTGTCTAATGATATGACAGCCACATCTTCGTTAGCAGTCACTCGAGATAATTCTATCAGTTTATCTTTGAGAAACAAAAAGTCAAAAAGGAGGATCTCAAATATATCTCATATACCCATAGACTTAACATCAGATGAACACTTAAATGTTCAGCATAATCATGTTCAATTGATTTCGGGTATCTCAAAAGGTAACACTAATGATTATATATAAACTATTACTCATTTCAAGAATAATATATTTATATCTTTAATCAAGTTTTTTTAAACAGATTATTTCGACCATGGTGATCAGAGTTTTGTGTGTACAAGTTGTCATGCAAAATTATGGCAAAATGAAGCCCTTAAAGGCAATAAAGATGGCAACCAAACATCTTTTTCAATGTGTTGTGGTAACGGAAAGGTCGAGTTTCTTGAATTAAAAGAAGCACCTGAAGATTACCAAAATCTGTATCGTTCTGTTCATCCCAAAGGGAAACATTTTTTGACCAACATTCGTCTGTTCAATTCGATGTTTTCATTTACATCGATGGGTGGAAAAGTTGATTCTTCCGTTAACAAAGGCAAAGGTCCATATATTTTCAGACTTAGTGGTCAAAATTACCATTGTATGGGCAGCCTTCTACCTATAGATGGATCAAAACCAAAGTTCTCTCAACTATACATATATGATACTGACAACGAACTTTCAAATAGACAACACGCTTTCAGGTATATTTTCATGTTTATTTTTTATAACAATCCTTTTTTCATTATACTTATTTACCTACTAAATATTAAATATAATCGTCATTATTAACAGTACACAAAAAGATGGGTGCAATTCAACTTCTCAGCAACTTGATATCGAAATCATAAGATTTTTGAAGGTTATGTTGGATTCAACAAATGAGTTGGTTAAGTGTTATAGAATGGCAAGAGATTGTTTTAATGCAAGTCCTAATATAGATCTAAAGTTACGTCTTATAGGAAGAAGACAACAAGATGGAAAGACATATAACCTACCTACCGCTTCTGAGGTTGCTGCTTTAATTGTTGGTGACATTGGTAATTCAATTGATAATAGAGATATCATCGTAAAAACTAAATCAGACAGTCTACAACGTATAAATGAATTACATCATGCTTACCTTGCTCTTCAATACCCACTGCTCTTTCCTTATGGGGATGATGGATATCGAGTTGACATCCCTCATAGAGGTGTTACGTGTTCAACGAATAACAAACGATGTAACTGTATAATGAGAGAATTCTTTTCTTATAGGATTCAAGACAGAGTTAATATTTTCTCATTAATTCTGAATTCAAGAAGGCTTTTTCAACAATTTCTGGTTGATGCTTATACGATGATTGAAAGCGAGAGGCTGTATTACATACGAAACCAACAAAAAGTTCTTCGATGTGAGTCCTATGAAACTTTACGCAGCGTGAAAAACAATGGAAATACAGATATTTCGAATATTGGACAGCGTGTGATATTGCCTTCTTCTTTTACTGGTGGTGCACGCTACATGATGCAAAACTATTTAGATGTCATGTCACTTTGTAAGTGCTTTGGCTACCCATATTATTTCATAACTGTAACATGCAATCCAAAGTGGCCCGAGATTCAAAGGTTTATTGCTGACACAAACCTCAAACCTGAAGACAGACCGGATATCCTATCTAGGTTGTTCAAAATGAAGCTAGATTCATTGATTAAAGACTTAAAGAAAAATTCATTATTGGGTTCGGTCGAAGTAGGTAATTTATATTAATAATGCATTGTTAAAGTGTTTTTATATATTTTGTTAATATGTTTTTTTTATTTTTTCAAAATCTTATAATACGTCTCTATGTAAATAAAATTTCAGTTGTTTATACGGTGGAGTTTCAAAAGCGCGGCCTACCTCATGCTCATATATGTCTATTCATGCACTCTGATTACAAGCTCCCAACCGTTGAACATATTGATCGCGTTATTTCTGCTGAAATTCCAAACAAAGACGACGATCCAGAATTGTATGCACTTGTCAGCGAGATCATGATGCATGGTCCTTGTGGTAGTGATAATCCTAAATGCCCATGCATGATTGATAACAAGTGTTCAAAAAACTTCCCAAAGACATTCACAGAGCATACTTCGGTTGATGAAAATGGTTATCTAATATATAGGAGACGTAATGATGGATCTTTTGTTGAAAAGTCTGGTGTTAAGTTAGACAATAGAAGTGTGGTTCCATATCACAAACTGCTTTTGAAAAGATACCAAGCTCACATTAATGTTGAGTGGTGCAATCAGGGTGCTTCCATCAAATATTTGTTCAAATATATTAACAAGGGTCCTGATAGGGCTACTGTTGCGGTTGTACCAAGCAACAACGCAGATGATAATGATGATGTAGTTGACGAAATAAAAAACTACTACGATTGTAGATATTTGTCTGCATGTGAAGCTTTGTGGCGTATATTCAAATTTGAT